TCGCTTGCTGTGATTCCAACAATGTTTCAGTAGGATTACAAATAGAATTTTCTGAATTGTAAGGCGGTTTATAAAAGGGATTACAATGCTGGATTACAATTTACGGTATTTGTATTACAATATTTACATTTGAATTGCAATAATGCTGTATTAGCACTGTCATGCTATCCTTGGACTTTCATTCTAGAAATTTCTTTTTCAGTCAAATGTGCCTCCTATAAGTAGCATATTGTGGACACTTGCTTTCTTTTTTTCAAGGAGGGTGGTGTTTTGAGACAGAGTCTGTGTACTTCAGAGGGACCTTCCACTTAACATGAAGTCCAGCCTGGGTGTGAACTCACAGTGGTGCTCCTGACTCAGCTCCCTAAGTGCTGAGATTACAGGTTTGCACCACCACGCCCAGCACAATCTTAGGTCTTGATGCACTGTGGCACTCTGTTTCTTTTGGTTGGTGCATTGTGACCACTCACAATGAAGATGAAAACTGCTCTCTATTGACTGCTCCTTGTTATCTGATTTTCCTGTTGTTGGTTTTCATTCCACCCCTCAGTTTAGCTGCTTCCTTTGTCTGGTTGACTCATCCTGTTTTGTCTTGCGGAGTTGTAGCCTGTGAGATAGATAGATAGATAGATAGATAGTTCCTGGAGAGCATTGCAAAGGGCTGCTTTGGTGGTCATCATTTTTTTCAGGTGTTCTTTGTCATGAAAGGAACTTATTTCTCCATCAATTTTGAAAGACACTCTTGCAGTATATATCAGTCTAGGTTGGGAGTCATTTGCTTTTAGGGTTGGCAAACCTTCACTCCGAGCATTCTTCAACTAGAGTGTTTATAGTGAGAAGCCTGCTGTGATTTTGTTGGCTTTCTTGCATACGTGAGTTTGTTTTCTGTAACAGCTTTAATATTCTGTTCTACTGTTTTTGAATTTTGGAATTGTGATTATTGTGTTTTGTAGACAATTTTTTGATCATGGCTAATTGGAATTCTATATGCCTTCCTTACCTCTCTCTCAAATCCTTTTCCCTGCTTGGGAGGCTTTCTGGCATCACTTTTGTGAACAGATTTTTCAGTGTGATTTGCACTGTCTCTTGCTTTGTCTCTGACTCTGATCAATCTAATATTATTGTTTCTTGCATCACCTAGCAGCTACTGGATTGGTGTAGTGCAGTACCATGTTATCTTTAAGAGGTCTTTCTTTTCATGGTCACTAACTGCAAACCTGACTTCCTTATCTGATCTTCTGTTCTCATATTGGTTCATTCTGTTGCATAGTGGGTCAGTGGCATTTGTAGTCTGGAGATGTGAGTCAGGTTCATGGATTGCATTTCTTTCTTGTGCTGGGTGTTCAGAGTTCCCATCGTTTTTCTAAGCTCCTCTATTACTTTTCAATCTTTAGGTTTTGTGGAGTCTCTAATCATTTCTTTTGTTAAGGTCATCTTGTAGCTGTCTCAGAAACTATTTCTGATTTAATTTTTTTAAGCCACGTTCTTCTTTATTGCTTTCCCTGTTGCCACTTCATAGTCCAGGTGGGTGGGTTTCAAATTCTTCTACCTCTTCACTCCCTGGGTTTGACTTTAGTGAACTGGTGTGATAGCTTGGACCCCGGAATAAAAGCCAAGGTAGCAAGAAATTAAAATTTAGGGAACAAAGGCTTTATTTTAGGCCAGGCCTGGTGACACAGTCTCCGGGAGCCAATATGGAGACTGCTCGCCTTACAGCTAAGAGGGTTGGGTTTTAAGACCGAAAACCACAGGAATGTTGCGAACTTTGACCCAGTTTGATAGCACCCGGGCTTCTTGGTATCTCCTGTAACTTCCTTGTAGTTAAACTTTTTTTTTTAATCGGTACCGGGGATCGAACTCATGACGGCCTGCTTCCAAGGCAGGCTCTTATGCCATTGAGCTAAATCCCCAGCCCCATTTAAACGTTTCTTAAGAAACAGCACATTTTATTACAGATAGGCTGAAGGGGGTGGGGATTACATGAAACTGAAACTTAAAGCTTTACTGGAAATGGAGACTTAACCTAAAAAGAATGGGGAAGGAAGGGGGATTTACAAGGAGCTGAAACTTAAGTCTTTCCTGGAAATGGAATTTTAAATCTCAGTTGAAATGGCACATACAGAACAGGAAGGGGGCGCAAAGGTCAGAACTAGGTTACAACACTGGAAGTCTGCGGTTGCCTCTGGCGGCAGTACCTTGTCATTTTGTCATTTTTCAGTTTTATTCCTGAGTTGATGCCTGTAAATTGTGTATGGCGAATACCTTTTTTACTAGCAGTAAGATCTATGAGGGAAGGACGTCTTCTCAAAGATATCTGCAAGGTGAAGCTTGCATTTGTGTTTTGAGTCTGTTGCAAAATCCTACCTCTTCAATTTACTGCGGATGAGAAGTTGCTTTCTATTTACCCCAGCCCTTGGTTCTTTGCCACTGACCCATAGCTTGCTTTGTGACCCTCAAGGAACCCCCAATCTTGTCTACCACAAAGAACAACTGACTAGAACAAGTATGTCATCTTTGGAAAAGCAGTGCATTCAGCACTAACAATGGTGTCAACAGAACCTAGATAATGACAAAGTGTGAGAACTGTTGTGATTTATCACCCTCAACCATAAGAGCTGTCTTTGTGATAATATCAGAAAATCTAAAACAAAGTAGAACATTGAATACAGTAAATAGCCATGAGTATGCGCATTTAACCCACTCTCAAGGGAGAAAATTTTTAAACGGAAAAGGGAAAGAAAAAAAGACATAGAAGAGAAGGAAGAGATCACAAGCAAGGCTGGAGGACAGAGGCAGGTTGCACAAACTGTGGGACACTGACGAGGAAGACAGGAGGGAAACAGAGGAAGAAGAGAAGAGAAAAATAGCAACAAAAATGTAGAAACAATATTGACGCTTCTATAAGAGAAACAATCAAGGAAAAGAAAACACGACAGCATAAAACAAGCAGAGCACGGATTTCTCAGATTTCCTCTTTATCTCCATAATTTCAGTTTATTCCCGAGAACATAGGCAAAGCAAATTGAGACAGTTCTACAGTGAGTGCTGAGATTACGGAGAGACTGAAAACTGTTCAGGACTGGTGAAGACTGGAAACACATCAGCGAGTGTGCTGTCCAGGAGGAAACAACACTAATGGGAAAACGGGGGAAGGCGCACTGGCTGGGACTGGGCTTGTGAACTTGCCCAGCATGTGTGAAGTCTGGGCCCCAGGCCCAGGACCACGAGGGGAAAGTAAATAAACACTCAAATAAAATTTATGAGAAGAACACTATTTTTTTTTTGGTACCTGGGATCAAACTCAGGACCTCACGCCTGCCAGGCAGGTGCTTATGCCACTGAGCTACATCCCCGGCCCCAGAACACTTCATTTGTTTATCTTTATTTATTTCTTGGTTGTTTGAGACAGGGTCTTGCTATGCTGCTCAGACTGGCCTTGACCTCACTTTAGACCACAGGCTCACATCCGACCTCTGGCAGTCCTCCTGTCTCGGCCTCCAGAGTGCTGGGATTGCTGGCAGGTGGCCCTACACCCCGTAAATCTCTTCCCTCTGGCCTGCACCTGCCCCACTTCTGATGACAGGACACGGTGCCCGTGTGACGAGGTGAAGTGAGGGAGATGCTGGCTCCATGCTGCCGTGTGAGGGCAGCACGTGAGGGTCACTTGAGGACAAGTCCTGGGCACAGTGACACTGAAGTGAGGAGTCCCTGAGAGAGGGGGAGCTGCTGTCCCCGTGAGACAGAGCACGGCTCACCAAGATTTCATCCTGCTGCTCAGACGCCACACAGCTGAAGACTCAGGGTGTGCTTATTTCTACAATTCTCCCCTTAGTGTTTCTGAAACTTAGTTGAACACAAGGAACTGAAGCCACAGAATATGGAAAAATGGGTGAGAGGCGACAACTGTGACTCATTTTACCAGGAGTCTGTTCCTCTCTTTACTCACAGGAAGTGTGATACGGCCTTGCTGGGAGTATTTCCGAGGTCAGAAAGACATTTTAAATCCCTTCAAGCTTCGATAAAACTGAATCTGTTGAGCGAGTTGGCCTTTGCTTGACTCTCCCCTCCCTATTTTGCTAGCCTTAGCACTGTGGTGCGGATCTGAGACTTCCCTGAAAGTCTCACGTTCAGAGGTGGAGGCTGATGGATGAGGTGTGTCACCGCGGGGCTCCCTGGAGCACAGGGCCCTCTCAGCAGGTCCTCTGCTGGGCTCCCGCTGACTGCCATGAGATGGACTGCTGTCTCCACCGTGCTGTTCCACCAGGCTGCTCCTGCCTTGCAGCCAGGTGATCATGCATGGAACCCCCTGAAGTGTCAGCTACTTTAAATTGTGGGTGTTGGGTATTTTGTCGCAGTAGCCAGAAACTAGAGTGATTCTTGGAAAGACTCAGAGCATGCACAAGTGGCCCTTCCTCCTCCCCTTCATCTCTGCCTTTAGCAGGGGAAAGGACAAGAATGAAGTGAGTGTCTTTATTTCCCCCAGCCTGAAGTCAAACCCAGGGTCTTGTGCCTACTCAGCAAAGCTTTTTCCACTCCTCCCAGCCCCTCGGCCTCAAATTTTCCCTTAGGCACATGCCCTGCCAGAATTCTGTGCAGGACTTCTGGATAGATTATGGACCATAAACTTCAAATTAACCCCAATCTATACTGCTAGTGACAAGATTCTTCCAGAAGCGTTGCTTCTGTGTATGTTTAGAACCATTACCTGAGGCTCAGGAGAAAGACTGAATCACGTGTGGTCTGTCAGTGTTTATCCGCTGATGCCTGTATCCTCAAGCAGTGGGGGGGTCATTGGCAAGAGGGTGGAAAGTGAAGTCCTGCATGAGTTAGCCACATAAACCCCAGGATCAAGTCAGAGAGAAAGAAGGGCAGTACACCCAGTCTGCCCAAATCCTTCATCTTTGCAGGCCACAGTGAAAGGGTATTTTTCTGGGAGAACGCTGCCTACCCAGGAGAGGAGTGCTTGTCATGGTGCTACGTCTGTGTGCAAGTACTTAAGCTCTTTTTAAACTTTTTATTTTCTTGCATTTGTCTCCTGAGGGCAGGGAGTCCTTAAGTGCTTGGTCCCAGCAGATGTTTCCTGCTTCTTGCTAGGGTTTCCTGGTGCAATAGAGAAGCAAATGGAAAGGAAAGGAGGTCTTTACTGAGGATGTGGGGCGCACAGCTCATGGGGATGGCTTGTCCTCTGCTGGGTACAGAGGGGCTGAGGTTCTGTGACCGCTGACCAGAAGCGCACTTGGGGCGGGCAGAGGTGACACACAAGGCAGTGACTGGAATTCTCCTCATGGGCACGGGATAGGAAGGAGGAAGTTGTAGGCAGGGCTGAAGGAGGAGGAGGAAGTGGTCATCAGGTGAAGCGTTGTTTTTGCTGTGGCCTTTTGCCATGTTACACTACCAATATGTTAGGAAACAAACAAAAAAAAAGTCACACTCTTTTACCTGCACAAGCTCCTGTCACCACCCCCAGCTACCTCTCATCACCCACACTCTAGTGTGGAGGCCCCTGGGACTCCTACCAGGAAGGTGGTCTTGCCCTGTCCTGATTGCCCAGTCACAACGGTCAGCTTTCCACGGGGCAGCAGGAGCTGCCTCACTGTGTCCTGAAGCAGCTTTGGCCGGGCAGGACTTGGTGGGCTCTGCAGCTCCTGAAAGGTGGCTTGCACCAAGTCATCATCTGGGATGGACACTGGCAGCTGCTGCTCGGCCTCAGGCTGAGGGCACATGGGCAGGGGCCACTTAGGTTTCCTTGTTCTGCTTGTAGTATCCCCACCCAGGAATCTCCACTTCCCTTCTCTGCTCCTGTGGCCATTAGGCATTCTGCTCACCTGTAGGTAGAGTTTCTGGATCATACCCCACACATCCTGGAGAACCAGCTGCCCAAACTCCTCTAGTCCTCCGGTGCAGGGCCGGCCAGCAGCTATGCCCTGCCATTCACAGGAGTATCTATAGGCAAAGCAAGCACACCCCAGTCAGAGCGGGTCAGGCTCCCCATGCCAGAGCCCGCTGTACCCAGAGCTGCCAGCCTCCCCCAGCTCACCTGCGACAGGTGGTCCCTTTTTGTGTGCTGAGGTAACTCTTCAGTGCTGACATCCGCTGGGCGGCCTCTTCAGACTCAGATGTGAAGTCAGATCTCCAGGTCTCGGGCACAGACCTGACCACCAGACACCCAAGAATGAGCTAGAATCAGACCACAGTCTCCCTCCACCCATCATCAGATAGGGCTCTGTCTTCCTGAGACCCAAGGAGGGACGGACTTCAGCCCCTGGCCTGGTGAGTGCTGTAGAGGCAGGGGCTCTGTGTCCTGCTTCTCTCTCAGAGCTGTTAGCTCACCTCGCCCATGCCCATGCCACACCTGAGCCTGCCTGGCCTGGTGGGGAGGAGCCCGGGCCCTGGGGGCAGTGGGAGGCACCTGAGGAAACTGGAGTCCCGGAGGTAGATGAGGGCCTGGGCGCAGGGCTGCAGGCCTTGACCCCGGTTCAGGAACTGCATCACCTCCATCTCTGTCACGGAGCGGCCTGGCGGGTACTGCCGGGCCTGCAGGGAAAGGGCAGGGACGGGCAGCCTCACTGCCAGGCCCACCGCTCCTCCCTTCTAGACTGCCGAGGCTCCCCCTGCATCATCTCGGCAGAATTCTTCCCTCCTTCCAAGGCAAACTCTGAAGTAGCGCTAACAGCTAACACTACTTAAATTCCTGACATATTCTGTGAATCTTGCAGAGTTTAATTTTTATCAGGACCCTGAAAATAGAAGTTCCTCCTTCTCTTTCCTGTGTGAGGAAACGGTAGGTTTTGGGAAGCTGCTTCCCAGAACACTTACACACAGCAGGAGGGAGATTAGAACTCAGAGCCACCTGAGGCCAAGACCTCTGCAGACCTAAACTCAAGGTCTCTCCTCATGGAAACCTCGGTCACTCGCAGAATCCTTTGCCTGCATTCACTGCACGTCTTGAGGAGAGGCCTGTGAGAGTCCCAGGCTGCTGACACACTGTGGCCTCCCCTCCCCTGGTGCTCCCCACCCTCCTCCAAGCTTGGCTGCCTTACCCAGCGGAAATGAGGGTGGTCGGGAAGGCTGTAGCTGGGGGGAACGTAGCCATAGCAGGAGCCCAGAATCCCCACGAACAGCTGTGACTTCTCCACCTCCCCGAGGCACACTTCCAGCTGTCTGTTGGGATGGTGACAGGGACACGCAGAGTCACAGGGCCTCCAGGCCAGGGAACTTAGACATAGAACCAGAGGGACAGGACCCTGGCACACAGCAAGGGAACACAGGCTGCTCATGGTCACACCAAGGGAGAAGTCCCTGCCCGACCCTCCTCTGGTCCTGCAGTCCTCACCCTGCCTACCTGGGCTCCATCTCTGCAATCCTCCTCCCTGACCCACACCCCCGTCCACACCTGTTCCTCCAGGTGTCCTCCTCGGTGACGCCCCAGTGCAGGTCGATGCCATGAAGGCTGATGCGGTGGGAGGCGGCTCGGGCCTGCAGTGCTGGCAACACAGTCCTCAGCAGCAGGTCCCGCTCCCCGTGCATGTCCCGGAAGGTGGAGGAAATGAACAGCCGGATGCTGCGCCAGCTGTGGGCAAGCAGAGGGCGAGGACAGCCCACAGGTTGGGTCCTGTTTAAACCCACAGACACAGCAGAGGGTGCAGTGGGAACCTCTGTGGAACACACTGCTGTGGCCTCAGATGCACAGCCCTGGAGTCTAAGCCCCAGTGGCCACCTCTCCTGCACCCCTCCTTTTTCAGCCAGTCATTACCATTCCTGGATTAGTTCTTCACAGCCCTGTAAGCCACACACGCTCACTGTCCCCAGCCTACCTCTCAAGTGACTATAGTTCTGCCAGCCTTGGTGATACAGCCTGTGATGCTGCCACTGAGGAGGCTGAAGCAGGAGGATTGGGAGCCTGAGGCCAGGTTGGACAATTTAGAATAACTCTAAAAAAAAGACAGAAAGTGCCTGCTATCTACTAAAGGCCACTGGTCCAGAGCTCTAAAGAGTATCCCCAATTGACATTCAAAAACTTATCCGCCTTCATCCTAAAGAAATCAGAGTAGCCATTGCCGTTACTGTTCATGGTAGTTCGGGTTACTTCTTCAGAGGGAAAAATGTTATGAGAAGCCGAGTCTGTCCTGTATCCCATGGGGCACAGAAACCCTCCCTCTTTCCACTGAGTTCATTAGCTCCAACCTCAGTGTACTGCATGCAGAACTTGGCTTCAAGGAGCCCTCTCATACCCGCCTTATACTGCGTTACGAATCACACCTCCCTTCACCTCATCACACAGGCACAGTACCACATCCATTATCAGAGGACAAGCAAGCACAGTCAAACAGACAGAGAACTGCTGGGCATGGTGGCACGTTCCTGTAATCCCGGGACTCTGGAGGCTGAGACAGGAGCACTACTACAGGGTGGAAGCCAACCTATGGTCTAAAGTGAATTCAAGGCCAGCCTGAGCAGCATAGCAAGACTCTGTCTCAATAAACAAGAAATAAATAATAAAATAAATAAAATGCAGCATGGTTAGTCTTCTAAATTTTATTTATCGATGAATTTACTTTCTTATCATGGTGCTGGGCACCGATCCCAAGACTACGCATTCTGGGCAAGTTGTAGGAGCCCAACCCCAGACAGAGTGGTTTCAGCAGTGTTTTCATTTGTGCTATTTCCCCTGCACACCGTGCTGCTCTTAATGTCTTCAGTCTGCACCACTGCTGACAAGTTTCCAGACTTTCCGTAATCTCAACACTCGGTGTAGAACTGCCTCAATTTACTTTGCCTCTTTTCTCGTGAATAACCTGAAGTTATGAGTGCGAGGGTGGATTCTGTGCAGTATGTGCCCTGGCATGAGTGTCACTTACTGGTGACATGAACCGCGTTCACTTTAAGGTTAAGGCGATTGTCCATTTTTGTGTTTTTCGAAGGTATTGATGATTGAACACAAGGCCTCTGCATGCGAGGAGGACTTAGAGCACCACTCCTTTTCAACGTTGTACAGGGGGTCCTACCAGTAGTGTAATTAGGAAAGCAGGGAAATAAAAGATTTCAGCCAAGCATGCAGTATAATCTGGCACTCAGGAGAAAGAGGTAGGAGGACTGCAGTGAGTTCAAGACCAGCCTGGGCTACACAGTGAGTCCAGGGCCAGCCTAAACTACATATCAGTACCCTGCCTCAGCAACAAAGAAAATGATAACAAACAGAATGCCTTAAGTGTTTGAAAGGAAGAAGTAAAACTGCCATCGTTCACAGAGTACCTCACTGTAGAGAGAGAAATTGTAAATAATCGACAGATTTTTAGGGTCAAGGATAAATATGTAGCTTCCACAGGTGAACTATTAAATCAAAAAATGTGTAGCTAAAAACAACAGATGGACAAACACAGCTGTGGTATGACTGGCTAGGAAAGGCATCCCCTACATTAGTGGATGTCAATTAATTTCTGCGCAAACACCTTGATTGAATCTCAGAGCTATGGGTTTCTCATAGAAGTTGTTCATCAAGTGGAGGGATGGCTCTGGGATTCCAAATTTCTGAAAATGTGAGTCCTGAAAGGATGCTGCATTAGCCACATGGTTTTCTCCATGAAGGCCATGGGATTTTGGCCTCCAGTGGTTGATGTTGATGGTCCTCACCCATTTGATATTCTGTGGTAAATTTTGTTTGGTAATGGTGTAGAATCAATTTCTTTATGGCTGGAATGGGTTTGGTAACATCTGATTGATTTTTGCAATTGTACTCTTAAGAGACATTGGTCTATACTTTTCTGGTGATAATCTATATCTGGTTTTGATTTTACACTACCTTATGGATGAATTAGGAAGTATTCCCTTCCCTGTTTTCTGGAAAAGCATAGAAAGCCTCCTTCAACTTCGGAAGCAGCATAATAGTTCAATGAATGGATATATGTCCTTAGTTTGTTATCTATCCTCTTTTTATATCCACCAATGTTGCAATGGCATGATATATGCAAAAAGGCACATCTGTTGTTTCATGTGAAAAAGGAATATACATTTATGATGAATGGATGATGGTAATTTGGTTTCTAGAAAACGACAGAATATTCTATTCACTTGACCTACTTTATGGGATTTGTAGGGAGTTTAACATTATTTTATGCTGTTAAATATGTGATCCTAAATCAAAATAAACCAACAAACAAATAATCTTCATTGTTATTTCAGGAAGTGTGTTGCAAGTATTTAAAAGTACTCAGGAAGTCTTTGGCTCTGACCTCTACTTTACTATTTCTTAGAAGGAGGACATGGGAAAACTTCTGGTTCTCTCTTTCCCGAGATGTTTAGTGACAGTAGTCTTAGGGCTTTCCAGGTTCTGGAGACATCTAGTGAGGAATGAGATGTTAAAGGACGAGAGACTGAAAGGTTTTGCCCCGGTATAAATCGCTGTACAGATATGGCAGTGGGCTAACATGGCGGAAGCAGAAAGGTGACCCAGCGGCCACTCCCTGCTTTTTCCCCCTTGACCCAAAGTGTTACTTTCCCATTTGCACAGGAAGAAAATTCCAATTAGTGCCGCACACATCATCCATGCCGACCCAGTGCGCCACTTCCGATCAGAGATCGTATAACCCTCTGTATCCACGTGGAAGGAGACGGCCAAACCCCTGCAGGTTGTGGGCTCTTCTCCTCTCTGCGTCCTCAAATAAATGGACACTTTCACATGCTTCTTTCTTTTGCTTCTTTATTGCACCAGGAAACTCTAACATAAGATATTTCCATGACACAGAACACCTATGAAAAAAACAGATGGTCACTAAACCAGTCCTTGAAAATGTTCTGAAGGGTATTCTATATAGATAACAAGGACTACAACTCCACAAACTGCCACAGGATGAATCAACCAGTCAAAGCAAGCAACTAAACTCAGGACGGAGGGAGAGAACCAACAGCAGGGTGATTAGGTTACGAGGATGTCAATAGATATTATAATCTTCAATGTACATGGTCACAATTCACCAATGAAAGAGAGTGGTACAACAGATCAAGAAGCAAGATTGTGTTGGGCATAATGGTGCACACTTGTAAACCCAGCACTCAAGAAGCTGAGACAGGAGGATCATTATACGTTCATGGACGGGCCAGGCTTCACAGTCAGTTGAAAGCCAGTCTGAAATAGAGAGCGAGACTCTGTTTTAAACAAACATTTCTCCCCTCTCTGAAAAAAGGAGGCAAGTTTCAACAGCATGCTCCATACCAGAGATGCATTTGGAGGATCCTGGGAAGATGGCAGATAGGTAGCAGAGTAGAGAGCCTCTCTAAGAAAAACAACTCAGGCACTAGAATTTAACATCATGGAGAAGACCAGACAAAAGGAGAGGGATTCTCACAACCCAGGAAGAAACTGAGGGGGAAAAAAGAAAAAAAAAGGAAGGAAGGAAGGAAGGAAAAATGTGGACGGAAAGCTGGAACTAGACACACTCTCACTGGGACCAGTCCTGCACTGTGCTGGGTGTGCCTTGGAGTTGGATGACTCATGGTTGCGCTGAAATTGTGGCCGCCAAAATCGGGGGTTTGGTGAGTCCAGGGCCTTTGGCAGGAGGATGTGGTGCAATGGAGAGTGGAACCAACATGGAGAACTGCATTAATCCCTGGTGAGTGCTGGGAGTTGGGTCCCATGGAGGGGGTGACAGGCTGGACGACATATTGGAGTTGGGCAGGACAGGCCTCAACCTGGAACCACAGTGGCATCAGTTGGCCCGCCCCTATCCCAAAGAGGACTGGTGGAACCTGCTTGGGCTGTCACACCCCTGGTCGAGACCCAATAGCCAGGGACGAAACCTGCGACATCTGCACAGCACAGACTAACATGCTGAAGGCACTCGCCAGTTGACTGGCTCAGAGGAGAGGGGCCAGCACACATCTCCCTGCGTTCACCTCAGATAACAGCAAACTGAAGAGGGCAGTAAGCTCCCAGCCAGCATGCTTCAGAAAAACTGTAGGCAATATGGAAAGGGCCTGAGACCTCCACCATACACTTGTCTGAAAGAAATCAGAAACATGACAAGAGAAAGAAATAAGAAAAAGCCTCCAGCTGCTGACCCTGGGAAAACAAGTCCAGGAGAGGTAAATACAGAAGGAATCCAGTGCAGCAATCATGCAATACTAGCCACAACATCAGCGGACATAAAGAAATACCTTCATGACCTCATAGATGAACTTAAAACTAAAATTTTAAATTAAGTGAAGCAAGATATAAAAAGATTAATAAAAGAAATGCTAAGCACCTCTCAATAAGATACAGACGGAAGAATGGAGGAACCCAGAAAAAGGAGAGAAACCTTTGATAAAGAATATAAACAAAATCTAGAATACATGAAACAGATCCAAAGAGATTACCAGGAAATTAAAAACTCCGTTGAAAGCTAGCAAAATTCCTTGACAGAAACTAAAGTAAGACTTTCAAAACTTGAAGATAGATTTGCAATGTGTGATCATGAAAGGAAAGATCTCTTAAAAATAATAAGGAATCAGGAAGTAACAATACAAAGGCTAGAAGATGACAGGAGGATCCATAATTTAAGAATAAAAAACATGAACAAAGAGGCAGGAGTAAAC